AATTATTAGTCCAGTGTTATATATATATATATATATATATATATATATATATATATATATATATATATATATATATATATATATATATATATATATATATATATATATATAACTGGAACATTATACTGACTCTGCCAGTCCTGGTTACTACTTGAAATACCACCGGAATGAAAGAATCATGAAAAACGTTTGTCTTCAAACACCTATGTTCAAATGGTTGTTTCACTCTATTAAAACTGGTAGCCTATAGTTCTATGTGAACAAGAATTAACGTATTCCAGCGGGAAAAGATACGAATTTTTCATTAGTTGCTGTGAAATAATTAGAAGGAACTAACTGTTGACATAATTAGTAACTCCATGTTATGACATATTTCTTTACAAAAATGTTAAACTGACCGGTTGGAGCGACTCTGAAGGTAACCTTAGCAACTACTAAACTGAACAATCAAGTATCTCTGTTTTCACTGAAGAATCAGTTTTTCCACAAAAGAAACAAACAACTAAATATCTCGATAGCTGTTTCAGTGAGCTTTAGAATCACTAGATAATTGAATTTTTTAATTCAAAAAATGATATTCTGTATATTAAAAAAGCGATTCATTTCTTCATGTTTTTCTATTCAACTTAGTTCACGGTATACATAGTTGGCCAGTCAGCTACTATTAGCAACTTTGATATTACTATGAATGCTGGGATGAGTTATGCACAAGAATCTGAAATAAAACAGTACAAAGACGGAGTGTTGAATAGATGTGTGTTGACAAAACAGATTGATAAAGAGATCAAAGACTTTCGAAGTAGATGTAAGTGAGACATTTTGAAACTTATTATTGATTACATTTAAAATCCATACGAATAAATTACCATTCTTATGTCTCATACTGAATCATTTATATTTAAATTTATCAGTGGATAATAATTTCAGGTTACATTATTATATCAGCCTATCTATGAATTGAAGTTATGTACAAGAATCATTCATGTCACAATTCATAAAGGCCATAACAAATCATAAAGTACTGTTATTTTGAGCTGTTTTTAATATGAAAGAAGAACAAGTACGTCAGCGAAGAATCCTTTTTGACGACTTTATTCTCAGGGCTACACAGTCCCAAGTTTAAATATTTTTGTATGTTAGTGTTTGATAATTAAATGTGGTCTAACAAATATGGCGACGAAAATAGTGTTAATGCGTGAGTTGTCAAAAATTTTGACGACCACTGAAGATTAATCAAAATATGATTGGAGTTGCATAAAGTTTGAATATGAAGTTATGGAACATGATAAGATATTTGGGAACTTAATTGTGAACATAAAGAGCATGGAAACAAGAATGAATAGCAAAGCATGTAGGAAGTGAACAGTGCGTAAAGAAAGAGACGATTTTAAAAACTAAATAAGGACCATCAAAGGGGTAGTTGATCAACTTTCTGCGTAAATAGGTTATTTTCCACCAAATGGATGGGAAGAACTACAACGGTATAGACAATTTGAAAACATACCGAATTTAGAAGGTTCTTTTTCATAGTAAGAATATCTTTGAATGTAGAGGCTCTTGAGATGAGGTGACAACTGTTCACAAAGTATCTAAGTATGGCACCCTTTATCGATCCGATATTACCTCTTTGTAACCACACCGGAAAGTACCCATGAATTCTTTTGGATAACAGTTGCATCTTTGACCTATATACCTAACTCCACAAGAACAGATGACTTGACAAACACAAACGGAAGTGGTTAGATGCAAAAGTTTGTCCTTCTAACTTTTGTTCTGTTGTATTTTAAGTATATTAAATGGTCTTTATTTACATGTATTCCGTTACTCAGGTGAAAATAATTCAGCTATATGACTGAGGTCCTCTGCAAATTCTACAGCTCTGTACGACCTGGTTCTTAAACACAGTCAACAGTGACTCCAGTGTTGGCAACAGAAGACACTTTTTGAATGATGTGGCACTGTATGGAAAACATTTTGCAATAGTGATGTGAAAGTGTAGTCGGCATAGCAACTCAATAACTTCAGAAGATGCATGTCATGGTGCCTGATCAAAATTGCTTACCTGAAGACTGTTGGTTCATTCAACACATTTAACCTCATTTTTTCTATAAATTCAAAATGGGCATTTCCCTTTTCCATTTAGTAGAAACGTAATGTTCACCTGATGCAACTAGGCACCTGACAATTATTTTGATATTGTAGCATTATGTGTAAACACATTCTACGTAAAAGTTGCAAGTCAAAAGATCTTGACAGAGGTAGTCTAACACGCAGGACTTCAATAGAAGAAAGGAATGTATCTCTCAGATAATGCAGAGTCACTTTAGAGATTCCCCTGAAATAATGATGAGCAATAGTCAGCTGTTATCTAAACTATTTTATAAGATTTCATCCATTGACTCTTTGTACAAGTGAGAGATTTGAGTTAACAAACCTACCCCATTTAGACTTTAACTTCTCATTTTTGCGACTGCATGTTACTGTTTTTGATGTAGCAGGTATCAATTCTTATTGATACTAATAACGGTGACGGATGGAATAACCTCCTTTTGATCCTACTACATTTTTTGTGTTTAAAATAAAGTAACACTTCGGACAAATGATAAGGTAACTAATTTTGCCATCTCTACAAGTGCTTACAAGTTTAGCTTCTCCTGTGGAGAAAGCTATCCACAGAGTACTACTAGACAACTTACCAGGCATGTTACTGAGCATCTACCTTCATGGTTGGGGAAGGGATGGATACAATCTACCAGAATATCTGTTTTATCTCATCTCGCTGGCAGTGATCACTTAGTAGATAAGAACAATGCTTTCACGATTATTCGCCGCATACCACCTTATCTTCCAAAAGGTATTCGAACTAGTCTTTTACACATAGCAGGAACTGTGGGAATTTGAGATAATAATACTAGTCTTTGTATCCAGAAGAAGTTTGTACATCCGTTATTCATCCCTTAGTCAGGAAACACTTCAAATAATCATCGAATAATCACTGAAATTTTTCCTACTCCATTCTTATCCTTGCCCCCTTTTATATACTTACTACGGGGACAATATCACTCACTGGGGTGCAGATGCGTCCAGTTGACGAGTCCCGGATATGACGAAACGCGCATACTGGGTTCTCCTGCTAGCCACAACCAAGTAAATTACAGTAATAAATATTCAGGCAATATCGAGGCATCCGCATAGGAGCCCATATGCCAACAGAGGTCGAACAATTCGATCCAGTAAGACAACGGAGAACTACAAGCATGTCAACAAAAACACATATTTGTTTAGACTTTGTTTACTCACTTACCTCATCCTTCGGTATTATGAAACCTTTATTTTCCCAAGCTTGCGACTCACTATGATTACTGGAGTGTCTACACTTTCTTGCTGCTGTCTTGAGCCTTATCATCATTATCACTTCTTCATTTCGTCAACGTTATCATTTTTACAATTTGGGGATTTGTGGGGATTTATTAATTTCATCAGTCCATGATGAATACCAACTCGTTATCATTTTTATCATTTGTATTACTATGAGCATCGTTCCAAAAAACACTTATTATATCTAACCGATAAATCTACAGGATTGGTTAAGTTTTATATATATGTTAAGCTATACCCGTGAAAAATGAGTGCATCGTGGAGTGAATCAATTTATTATATATTTAAAGCAACTGGTCCTTCTGATAAATTGAAACAGCGTAATGAAAAGACGAAGATTACTTGAAATATGTGATGTATTAGCGCTATACACTTCGAACAATCTGATATGCAGTTAAGGTAGGTTGAACATGTACCTAAGTGGCTACAAAAACAAACGACCTCAACAGATCCGATAAGTACAGGTGACAAACATCCATCTTCGCGTATATATATATATATATATATATATATATATATATATATATAATATATATATATATATATATATATATATACTTGAACCTAACTATAGGATAGACATGAAAACAGCCTTTAAAGTACTACATAAAAGTGGTCAGAGCTGAGTGCTAAACTGATTGAAGCTCTTGCCATCCGTAAAATCAAACCCCCTTTGTGCATACAAAAACAATTTGTACACACGTTGAACCTACCTTGGTAGTATTGATTTTAATTTTCATACCAAGAATAACGTGACTAACGTTTTTTCTTTTTCTCTCCCTTCCTATTTCAATGTTACCTATTAACTTCATTGACCCTTTTCGTAAATTTTCACATAAATAGTTGTACAAGCCCATATGTGATCAGATTGTTCGAAATGCATAGACCTGATACATCACATGTTTCAGATAACCTTCGTCTTCTCATTACGCAGTTCAAATAAATATATTTTTCATGAGTCTTTATATACAATAATGTTATCTAGTTCCGGTGACACTTCGAGCGAAATTACTGACCACGATCACACCAATCAGATTGAAGGAACACCGACGACAAACTAAAGGTCAGACCACGGGGACACAAGAATATAAAAATTAGGAAAAGAGATCAGGGATAGCAGCATACGCGTAGGATGAAAAATATAGTATTGATTGGGACAATGTTGACATCTTAAAGTCCAACTAGAACAAACGGAAAAGCGATTATTAGCTGAATCGATGTTTATACCAGTCACGCCTAATACATGCAAAAATGGTGACTCAGAAGTACTATCAACAAAGTGGTAGTAGTAGTAGTGATGTAGTAGTAGTGATGTATAATGGCTATAAGTGGAATTCAGGATGCACATCTCGTCGCATTTAGGACTTGTCAGCTGGGTGTACCAAATTGAACGAAATACGCATCCTAGATTCTACTTCTAGCCACTATACATCATTGCTATATATAATTAAAAACATGGGCAATATCGAGGTATCACTCAGGTCCCCATATGCCAATAGGGACCGATCAATTCGGTCCAATCAACGACGGCATAATACAAGCAATAATGCTAGAGTGCAACATGGTACTAGAGAAAAATAATGACAAACCTACAAAAAAACACTATATGAATTCTATCTGTAATGTGTGAACAAATAACTCCAACAGTTGGTATGATCGCAGGCAGTAATTTTAGTCGAAATACTAACAAAAGTAAGTAGCATCATTTTGTGTGAAAATTCACTACAGTATATTTATAGTATATATATTACTATAAACATGATATATCTATAGTAAATGTATCAAATTCTTTGCATTACAGTAAAGCCAGAAGAGGATGCAATTGAAAACAATATTGTCCACCTATATGTCTCGTTCTAACTTCAGACCTTGTATGCCAGTGAATAAGTCATCACAGTTTGAAATGACATATCTCTTGACAGTATCTAAACCCTTTTAAGTTCATTTACCAGTTTACAAAATAAGGAGCTGTTGTCTGGGACGAATTCTCGCAATATTTATGTTTCTAGACAGAAATTTGGGCATCATTCCTGAATATTCCACTGATGAACAACTTATAGACGTTGCTTGTCCACATTAGAAATTTCTTAATACAAGTTTGCCATACTAAAATTACTTACAGTCGATACTCCAAACTCGTTAATGTTTAAATTCTGACTCCGATGTGCCTGTAATGTCACTATACACTGAACTCGTGAAATAACCGATAACATTTTTTATGTTAGAAAACTATTTCAAGTTGTTATTCATCGTAGACTGAAATCAGTTGGAGGAACAAAGGAGACTTGGGAGCACTGGACAGGTGTGTCGTCCTACTATGGGACTCCTCAGCAGTGAGCACTCACGACCCCACCATCCAGTGATCGAACCCGCGACCTTCAGGTTTCGATGCCAGCGCATTACTATTGAGCCACTGGGTCAGAATCCAACTGTCCATATTTCCAGCTTCTGTTAGCTCACGACATAGCGCAAACGCCACCTAATGTCATCGTTGAGTAACTGTTCTCACGACCGTCAGGGTGGCGTTTGCTCTATATCGTGAGCTAACAGAAGCTGGAAATATGGACAGTTGGATTCTGACCCAGTGGCTCAATAGCAATGCGCTGGCCGGGAAACCTGAAGGTCGCGGGTTCGATCACTGGATGGTGGGGTCGTGGGTGCTCACTGCTGAGGAGTCCCATAGTAGGACGACACACCTGTCCAGTGCTCCCAAGTCTCCTTTGTTCCTCCAACTGATTTCAGTCTACGATGAATAACAACTTGAAATATTTCCAAATCTCCACAAGTCCCTCAGAAAACTATTTGTCAAACTCACTACTGGTTACATTTTCTAAATAAAGTAGCTTGTTTTATGAACTGTCTCCCTATTTAAGCCTTATCTCCAAATTTAACTACTCCTGAAGAAACCAAAACCTAAGCTCCTAGTTGCAAGGAATCTATTATCGTTTTCTCCAGTACCATGCAGAATAGTTAGGTAATGAGAAATGAAACTTTATATATAACTTCATTGAATACGGATGGAGTATAAAGTTAATTTTTCACTTTTATGAGGGTAAATAGGGTGGCCAAAAATTTTCTGGTGTGTGCGTCTCTGAGTAACAAAAACAAAGGGCTTATTAATCATCAGCAATTCTTAACTGAAACATCTGTGTAGAACGTTGAATGGCCTCTCCAATACAATTACAGTTTTTGATCCCTACGCCTAAGCACAGCTGCTATTTCTCATTTTACAGCTGTTTTTACTACTGTGGGATGTTTTGAATTTCAGATTTCGTCCATAGCTGTGTAGCACACTGAAGGTCAATTTACACTCCATTGACATAAAGACAATTCTATCTCCTCACCTCCAAAAATATGTATAAAACTGATACACAGATACAAAGATTATCCTTTAGGATTTGATCCACACTTAGATTTATTGCAGCTTTATCATCTCCATAATGTAAAAGAACTATAGTCATAATCAGTAAGAAACCCTAGACCTACGTTTCATGTTTGTTGACACTCATAAGCGAGGCGTATCTGCAACCCCAAGGGAAGTAAAGCCTCCCCGGAAATTCGAATCCGCGTCACCTAGTAATGCATTTAATGACGTTATCACTCAGCTATTTTCTCCACTATTGACCTCCTGCAGGACTGAATTAGATGCACTGATTGGTCACTCAAGGGAGACCAATTGCATGTTAAAAATGACCAATTAATCTTCATCTAAATACTGGCGACATACAGCACTTATTACAGATAAAAATAAAACCCCTAACATGTATCAAAGTGCTCCATTATCATCAGGCCCCTAGCTTGGTTTAAGATTTTTAATTGCTTATGCTTTTGAGTGCGACTATGAATCCTTGTCGCAGGCATCGGTATGACTCGAGGAGGTGGGAGTGTGTAATTCTTGCACCAGATCTTTACTAACCCTCCCCCTTAACATAAAGAAGGTATCATCAGCGTTACACTACTGATAGTCCAAGAGAAACACCTTGCTGATGTCAAAGGCCGTCCAGACAACAGTGTGGTTTACCACTCAGACCATCATCTTAGTTTAGCAACTTACACCACTTATCATTATTATTAGAACAAAAACGTGGCACATCAAAGGTACCAAAAAATGTGCCACACAAAATAGTATAACAACAACTACAAGACATAAAAGTTGGGAAGTGGATAAGAAAGAAAGAAAGAAACCATTAGAATAGGACGATTAGAAGGGCAGTCTAGTTAGGTACATTCGAAGTAAAACATTCGTTACTTTTCCACAGCAGAAAATAGGAGGAAGCAACAACGTGGCTGCCATCGCTTTCGATTCTGAGCCATGTCTGATAACCTCTCAAGCTACTAAGTTGCGTGATCCCTCGGACACTACCCAGAGAATCGTAATGCACTAACAGATGCTAACCCGATAAAACCATCTTTCATCCTACGGTGCCAACTTATACACTGACCACCCCTCCGCTTCTTCCATCCAGTCCCATACCCAGAGCTAGCAAACAATGAACGGTGTGGAAGCAACCAGGACGACATATGTAACACATGTTCAAACCATCGCAGTCGGTGTCTCCAAGTGATTTCACTTATTGAGTAACGATATCCATCATGTCTAAACACACGCTGTCGTACATCAGGATTAGTAGCATAGTGTTGTCACCGGATACGAGCAACCCTACAAAGGCAACAATGATCGAACACACAGAGTCGTCGCGCATTCTTAGCTGAGAGAGGCCAGGTTTCACAGGCGTACAGCAGAACTGCTGGCGCCAAAGAGCTTTAAACCACATCTCTTACAATCAGACTAGCATCATGCTGGCGTCAAAGGTGGTCCGGATTGGCGTATGCCACTCTGGCTTCCGATATGCAGTCGGAAATTTCATCGACCACACCTTCACCAGCACTCACACAGATACCCAGACACAAGAACTTTTCGACTACTTCCAACGGCTCGTCACCCAGGGTGAGCACACACACAGGCTCTTGCCAATCTTTTAAAGCGCTTTGTACTTCAACGGTCCAAACTCATACTACACTTACAGATATTAATGGCCAACTGATTAAGTGCAACTTGAGTAGTCTGTGTGTTATCACACAGTCAGACGATATCGTCCGCATGTTCAAGGCCCAACGGCCGCTCTCCGGGTAGTAGATCTACACCACCATCAGGTACATCTTCCACATCTGTCTCAAGAATGTCATTGGTGGCAAAGTTAAAGAGAAATGGAGAAATCGGGCAACCCTGCCTAAACGCACTGTTGATTTGGAACAATGGAGACAAGGTTGTATGCCACCACTATACCTGAGGTCTTATTATATAGGGCTTTCAAGGTGTTAATAAATTTTTCAGGCACGCCCCTCTCCAACAGATAGTTCCAGAATACAGCTCTGTCCAGCGAATCGAAGACGGTCCCAATGTTGACAAACAAAACGATTGTCAGCCTGCAATACGTGTGACGATGTTTAAGCATGTGGTGGAGGGTAAATATATGATCATTGCATCGACGACCTGAACAAAACCCTACCTGCTCCTCTTGAATCACTTTTTGCATGTTTTGCAAAGTCTGTGAGGTAGGATAGTAGCCAATATTTTCGCCGCGGCGGGAAACAGACTAACATCACGATGACTGTCAGATACATTTCGCAAACGTTTTTTAAAGACAAGCGCAACAATGACTTCATTCTAGAGTGACGGAATACTCAATCTACCATTCCTTGTCAAACAATCCAGTCAGTCCCCTGACTTAGAAGTACTCCGCCAAGCTTTCCATGAGTCTTCGAATATTGTTTATCGGCATTCCGTCTCCCTCACAGACCGTCTAGCCGAAACCACACTTTTTGCTACCAGCGGCTCGGATGAGCTGGAACAGCTTCCGACTGTCGCCAGATGCAAGTGCTGCTTCTACCTCACTCACGCGTTCTCACCACTAAGCCTCACGGTCTTTGCGTAAGCCCTGTACAACCCCTTGCATAAGAGACTTAAGTGGACCATTGTACTCGCTATCCGACGGAATGGTTCAACAGGCGTCAAGAAGTTGCAGGTAGCTGGCAGAGACTGAGTGTTTATAAGTGGGACGTTCTTCCAAGCGGCAGGCGGCTTCAGTCGCCATTTTCATAGCGTCTTGCAAGTGTAGACAATGTTCGTCTATACTTTCTGGAGATTCGGTAGCTAGCCTTAAATCCTGCTCCAACTGCTACTTAGCTGCAGTGTCAGGTGCAACTAACTTGCTTACATAGACCTGTTTAGGACGATGGTTTTGATGACCACCAAAATGTAAGATGGGATTAGCACACTTAAGCATGATCAGAGTCTAGACAAGTGCTCCATATGAAACAGTAGTCCTGTTTGCACCCACGCCATCGGTAGCTGATTGCGATATGATCTGTTTGAGTCCAGTGCTACTGGGTCCCCGGATAAGCGTACATGAAACTTACTTTTTGAGCTGATAGATAGGAACTAATTCAAAGCACTTCACTAAGATTTTGTATGCGAGTCTCTGAAATGCAGTACACATCAATAGTGAGGATTTCCAGAGTCCCGAACAACCTGCTTGTTGTCTGATCTGCATCAAGGTGCGAACGTTTAAGGTGGCGAGCTCAAACGGTATGCGTGGTTTCAGGAAAGCTGTCTCAGATGTCGCACTGAAGGACAGCTTTATGAGAGCAACTGTTTAGCAATTCAAAACAGTACAGACCGACCAGAAATC